AGAATCTTATCCCCATCTCCTTTCACCAGACCTGTATAGACAAGATGAGAACTATTTAATGGGGATTCTACCTTGCCCCACACACTCTGAAACTAGACTCCCTCTTGAAAGCTTGTAAGCCAATCACTTTGTACTTTTATAGTCCTCCCTCACTCCATTTACGTAGCCAATATCTAAGTTGCCTGTCGCTATCAACCTTGCATACAGAGGGAATAGAATTGATACTTGATGTGAAGACTCCTTCCCTCTCATTTGGTACTTTGAGCTACTACATCGATAAGTATAGGTCAAGTTCCTCATATTGTAGCAATTTATACTTACTTCCTTTATCAAAATTTTTTTATTTTCCTCTAGTCGAGTTCTGATTATCAAGCCATTGAGGCTAGGTCAGATGGGTACTATCTTCAAGTTTGGGTATTCTTGTGCATCTCTGCTCACTCATATCAGCTGGAGGCTTCACTCTTATCTCTAGCCCTCCATGGCTAGGTCCTTGTCCATGGGTTCAGGAATCCCCAGGTCTCACCATACTTCAGCCCAACCAGCCTTTCCTCTTCTGTCATCTCCAGGTCAACCCTAGTCTATGGAATAGGGTTGAACTCAGCCCATATCTTCATTGCTGCTGTTCCCCCTCTTCCACTCAGCAGTAAACCAGCGTAGTTACCAGCAAGCTTACATGCCTGCTTATGTGTTCCCTTTGAGTTTCAGTCTTGGAGCAGGGTTTGTCCTGAGGGACTTGATTGCTTGCATTGATGGTTCCCTGGTTAACACCCTGCTTGTTCCTGTAGTAGCCAATCAGACTGCAGTTTTTGATTTTTATTTTTTCCTGCTGGTCTTTCTTTCAAGAAGTATCTTCTGTTCCTCTAGCTGTTCCAGCCTGGTGTGCTTGTCCTTTCATGTGGTCCCACCTCAGAAGGTTCTGGGTGGGGTTCAGGATTCCACCTCAGGTCTTATACTCTGCAAAGGCTCTGCAAGAAACCTATTTAACTGGGCAAGTTCTGGCACCCTTTTTAGGTATTCTAATCAGTTATAGGCTAAAGACAGACTTACAAGTTTTCTGTAATCATGTCTCCCAATGTTCTTTGCAATCCACTCAAGTGTGTATTTTACAATTGTAGGCAAGGGAAACCAATATTCATAAGACAGTCAATTATCTTAACATTATTTACCTTCTTTTACCCTTTCAGACTATGCCTTGAAGCCTGTATCACAGACCCCTGTTTTTCCAAGATTAAGCATATGTCACTATTTACCTCTGTTCTATTTAGCTCATGCAAATTTGCCTGAGTGTTCTCCTATCTACCTTTTTCTTCCATCCCCCTCCTCCTTACTGTGTATTGCTATCCCCAACACCTGAACTATGGTTTGTCTGCCCCCTCCCCATCCCTTTCTTCTGGTGGGTAGTGTTTTAAACATGCAGTAGCATTATGAAAATGTTTGAAATACTGTGAAAATTATCAAAATATGATACAACATAAGCACATTCTATTGGAAAATGCTAAGACTTGCTGGATACAGGGTAGCTACCAACCTCTAATTGGTAAAAACAAAACAAACCACAGTATCAGAAGGGCAATAAAACAACATATCCCAGTATATAAAATGATAACAGTTGCCATTCAAATCTCATATGTTGTGCACTAGATCTACATCCATATGGTTTTTATGATTGTGACCTTTTGGGAATGATCACAGAGCTTTTCTTCCAAGGAGAATTTAATGTGAGTTCAAACTGACAAATGTTTAGTAGTCCAAGGTTTAAGGGTTTACACCACCCAAGGATTCCATCCAAATACATAGGGGAATTGAAATGACAACTGACTTGCTACTCCAGAGTTATCGATGGGATGAGGGGCATTCTAGCTGGCATTCCTTGGTATATATTAGCACTTATGCTCTGACACTGGTGCCCTACTTAGTTTGATCAGTCCAACAACCCATTAGGTATATTACCTAGACTTCCTTTTTTTAGTACAAAGAATTTTTTTTACAGCAAAGCAAGTAAAACCAAAGGAAAATGATTTGCTGCAATAGCTGAACTAGATTCAATGCAGGTCTAACTACTAGATCAGTTCTATTACTCCTATCATTCAAATTCAGCTACTGTCCCTAAAGTCTTTGTTGGAGGTATTCTCTTGTAAACTGAAAGCAAAATATAAGTACTAATGAGCAGAAATACTTTTTTTCTTTTTCTTTCTCTTTCTTTTTCTTAAGTTTTATTGTGAATTGAATGATAGTTTACAAGGGAGAGCATCAACTTTACATTCATCCTATTGTATTTCACTTCATTGCAATGATTACAAATCCCCTCCATGCATCATTATTCAACAGCATTTGCTTCCATTCCTTCTGGGGTTTTTTTTGGATGTACACCGAAGCACTTAGGAATATATAACCATTCAAACAACTGAAGGGTTTGTCCTGCAAGCCTGCCCCTCAGCTGCCAGCACACAGTCCCTCTCCCTCCTTGAGTCTAGGGTCCCTACCGCTCCATCTCGCCACATCATCGTCTCTGCCTCCATCTCTGGCATCACTGCTTCTCTGGATAGGATCCTGCACTCCCCCTTCTCCATTGATGGTCCCAGGGTCCTCTGCTCCTGGATTGCAAGATCAACCACTCCCCTCCTTTTGTTACAAAAGGTGTACCTTTACATTTGCAACATTCACAACCAGTCCTGATAACAATTATTCACTATTGAACCACAAGAATCATCCCCATCCCCTTTCACCAGCCCTGTCTAGAGAGGTTGGGAAT